CGCGGAGGCGAGACGGCCCAAGGAGGGCAAAGACTCCCACGAATGGTCCTGAAAATAAAGAAACGACGGACGTCATAAAAAATCAAGTCAGAAACATTGAATTGTTTTAAAAATATCTTACTTACATGCAGAGGGGTGCTCCTGTAGACCGGGCGGCCCACCTTGGCTTCCTCTAGCAATTTAAACCCGCCGAACGGGCGTTGTACGGGATCGGCGGCGGGATAAACTTCGACCTCATACCCCTCGCCAGGGGGTGGGGGCGGGGGCAGGGCTGCCTCGTTGGCCACTGGGGCCTCGTTGGCCGCAGGGGCCTCCAAATCATCGGGCTGAAAAAACGAGAGAGTTGTTGACACACATGATTTAAGGGCGGTCCCTCCCCGCCGCGCCGCGCGCACAACGCGAGTCAAGCCAGAGACGAGGTTAGGACGCCCCTCGGTTCACGGAGTGCAGCGAGATTCAGACACTTTAGAGAATCAAATTACGATTCGGGACAGCACGGCGGACAAGAAATTCGTTCGATTTTATCATGAATTTAACAAAACAAAGCGACACTGCCCTGGCGGCACACCGACAAAGGCGCGGCACGGCACGGCACGGCGCGTCTTCTGAGAACTGGCGCGCGATTCGGTTAACAGGACAGGACCTGTTGCGGCCTGCCGGCGTCGGCCGGTGCCGGCCGGCGTTAGAACGTTCAAGAAAAACAGGACTTGTCATGAAATGACGATGTTACGACTGCCTAACCTACACGCGCACACCATTTTACGGGGCAAAACTGACGCGCTCAAGGAGTGACAACAAGTCGAACAAAGGGCTGAATACGAAAACTGACACAACTGTATGACCACGGAATGAAATAAACAGCCCTTGCTAGCACTGATTTGAACAAGCCGAACCAAAAACAAGGAACGGCGACACAGAATATACTCGCGGACGATGAAAGGTTAACCGTACGCACTGACTCGACTGACTCAAAATTTCACGCAACAATACTTCGACACACTGAGAAAAAGGGTACTTACCACAGGATTTTGGACGGAAAGAGCACCGGAGACGTCCAGGCATATGGAAGAAAACGATGAGCTGAGCTCAAGATCGGCTCGCAGTTGCTCCATGTCTCGCAGTTGCTCCATGTCTAACGACAGCGACCCCGCAACAAGTTCTGGCAAGCAACCCCAGCGACGCCTTCTAGCCGCCCCTCTCACCGCCCCTTAGGGTTGCGTGCGAAAACATCCGTCGTCTGCTTGGTCGTTGCATGGCGATACACGGAGCACTCGCGGCGTTTCTTGACAGAAATTGTTGACTGATTGAAACCTTTTGGCGAGAGAGAGTTACTCGAACACTTTGATGGGTCATTGATTGAGAAAAATCATTCAATTCATCCATTGAGCCAAAGAACAGCGAGTTTGGCGTAGTCGCCGCCAGGAGCGCTGGGGCGCCGGGGCGAGGGGTGGCGACGAGACAGATGGGTGGCCTACCCAGCGGGGCGCGACGCAGCGCACGGCGCACGGCGCGGCGCCGCCGCGCGTCGCTGACGCGCAGTTCCAGCGTCCACCGCACGACAAACATAGGCGTCTCTGGTGTCGCGCGGCTGCGACGTGCAGCTCCTTCGAGGGCGGCACGGCGAATGGGTGGTGAAGGAGTGGGGTTTGTTCAAGTCTACGCGGATGGGGGAGCTCACTAACACAGCCACTTTCGGGCCACCTTACCCTTCAAGTTTCGTCCAGCCACAGTACAAACGACAGAATGAGTTTGCAGTGGGGCGAATTCACGGGTTGGGATGGGATGAGGGAGACTTTCCGTATGAGTCCCTCAAGCTCATCCTTCGACACAACACTATTCTTTACAGCACACTACAGTGCTCCCTCCCTCCAACCTGAGGATTCGGGGGACAAGTCCAGGTTGGAGAGAACAGAAGAAACAGTTGAACACGTGTTGCAAGGGACGGCGAGGGTCGAGCTCGCGCACCGAGAGGCCAATAAAAGCGATCGCGTTGAGGCCCGATGCCGACCACGCCTTCTGCCGGGCTCGCCGTGCTACCTGCTTCCTATTGTGGAGGCACCTATCGGTCCATACCATGGTCCGACGTTTTGGCGACCGTCCGGGTTTATGGCTGCACTCGTCAGACCCCTGTCAGACGGCGAGCTCGCCGAGGGTCGAGGGTACACAGCGAAAATAAAAAAATCAGGCTGGAGGGAGGCAGCTTACAAGGAGGGAGCACTGTATTCGTCAAGGGCGAAGAAAAGGTCCGCCTACTTCAGGCCCTCCTCCCTGACAAGCAGTTTATAAACTTAGAAGAGTTCGGGTGGCCTCCGCTGGCTAACCTCCCCCCACTCTGGGGGCTAATTTACAAAAGCTCCGGATCGCAGCACCCTATGAGAAATCCGCGGTACGCAGCGCCCGCCGCCAGCCCGCCTGTCTGCACTAGTCTGCACCATTGTTAAATGTTCTTAGCTTCTTTGGGGCGGGTCTTAGAAAGCGGAAAATAGTATTTTAAATCAATGCCATGAAATGTGTAAAAATTAAATTGACAAGGAAAATACTTATTTTTGGTTCAAGACTAGCAGCGTGCTGAGGCACTCAGAGTCAACATTATACTTAGCTGATGCTTGCCTTTTTCCAAATGGACCCCACTGTCATAATTTGTTCGGAATATAAAATCTTTCTTCGAGGAGACTGAAATTTGACTTTTAAAGGCACATGTCAGGCTCTAAACCCAGTCAAAGAGTCTTTTTGAGCCTGTCTTGGCTGTATCTTAATAAATCTTCTTGCGCATACTGTTTTGTCGTAAAAGGTTGACCTTGACATTTTCCACTTCTTCGATTCATTTTCAAAAGATTCCGGCATGCATAGCTCAAAAGTTCCATTATATTATTAATTGTAAGCTTGTTTGTCTATTATGTACATTTTTGATCAATTAAAGTGAAATGCTTGGTTGGAAAGCTTGCGAATAAAAATGTAATTTACAATTTGAGTTGTGCATGCCGGCATCTTTTAAAAATGAATCGAAGAAGTGAAAAATGTCAAAGCCAACCTTTTACGACAAAATAGTATGCGCAAGAAGATTTTTAAAGTCAAAGCCTACATAGGAGAAAAAGGCTCTGCGACTGGGGTTAGGTTATAGATTGTGCCTCCCCAATGAAACATTGTAATAATTACTTGATAAGACATCAAATTTTTAACAAATTTTCACAGTGGGACCTAGGGACCTAATTAGGAGAAAATAGCATTTTCATCAGAACCACCCCTTAAAGGACTGCTAAAACTTAATTTTGCGAGGGACATGTTCCAGTTATATTTAAGGTGAGGTGTGGTTCAATTTGCACCAAAATTGATTAAAATGATAAATTTATTCCACTTGTTATTTTAATGTAAAATATTCTTCTATTACCGACAGCTTGTCCTAAAGGTCTTTGTTATGAACCCCTAAGTGAGTGGTCCATCTAACATGGACTGATGTATGCATGCGCCTTTTCTGGTCACCCAACTCTGAAGACAAGTGTCAAAGAAATTTTTTTTCTACTCCGTCAACTAGCCACGCATACAGTTTTGGTTTATACTGACCATACTTCTTGGAGTAGTTCTTTGTGGTCCATGTGACAATGTAACAGAGAGATATTTCAAATATCTATCCACTTTCTTAAATCGTTTACCTTAAAGTGGTAAAAAGTGGAGAAAAAACTTATCTTTTCCAATGAAAAAATTGTAAAGTTTGCTCAGTCAAAACAAAAAAAAATTAAATTCAAATGTCTCTCTGTCACATTGAAGTATAGGGGTTTAGGTAACTCCAAAACAAATTCCAGACCATTCCGTCAAAAAACTTTGCGTGGCTGATTTTTTAACTAAACGCTTAATTTCATTGGAAAAAGCCTACTGCGGCTAAATGGGTGGGTAGATTTGGATGAAATTTGGTGTGTAATAGTTTCCTACCTAGTACTTAAACGCCCTAAAGTTTCAACCACAACAGCCAAGTGGTATAGAAGTTTCCATTTTCACCCACACCTCACGTTAAACTTGATAAAAAAGTACGAATAAAGTGTAAAAAGATTATGGGGAATAGCTTTTATAGTCGCAGTAGTGGTGTGGCCGAAAAGAAAAGTTTGTTTGAATTGTGATTTTCTTGCGTCTTTTCTGCTAAAATATGTGCCGGGTGACTTTTATTTTTCATCGCTGGCATTTTACAGTAATATGTCTATTGAATATTGGCGTGATGGAAGTTCCCTTTGCAAGTCATTGACCCCGCCGGTGAAGCGCTGGGGAGCGCGCTGCTGGGCGCTGCGCAATTTCTCATAGGGTGCTGCGATCCGGAGCTTTTGTAAATTAGCACTCTGGGGCGTGTGCCTGAACAACGCACACAAGGAAAACTTCAACTACAAGTGCGCCAGTGCAATCGCACGCAGAGTGGGTCTCTGGCTTGATTTCCATTTCGCCAGCAACAGCTTGGCTTAGATATGAGGTTCATACACACACTGTTCCAAAAAATTCAAAAAAATCCAAAAAAACTAATATAATACAAAACCCTAAAAACTAATATAACACAAAATGCAAAAAAATAACAGGAAAAGTGGCGATATACAACCACAGAGTTCCATCACAGAGGGATTCCCTCAGCATGCCACGGCCATAAAGGTACGAGGGGAGGGGGACTCGACCTGCCGCCGGCTTCCCTTATGCAAATGAGCCATCGGCAAAGTACTCACACGCTCCGAGAGATGGCGTGCACCACAGCACGGCGCGCGGCTCACCACGTCACGGCCGGCTGGCGGCGCGACCGCGACAGTGGCGCGAACTTTCAAATCGTGGAGCGCAGGGGAGATGCCCACTGGTGAGGGCGCCTTAAGGCGAACTCACCTAGCAAAAGGCCCCATTGAAAAAGACAAGTCCTGACTTGAAGGAAAAAATACGTTGCGTTAGGTTGGGTTAGGTTAGGTTGGGTTGGGTTAGGTTAGCCGAGGTGACAATGGGTATTCAAGATGGCGGCGGGTGACAATGGATATTTCTTACTACTGCTCGTTTTCATCAATATAGCCAGGAAGATTGGCTAGCACACATATGTTGTGTAGTACAACTACAGCGTTGACAAATTTGCTGGCTTTTATGTAGTCGTAGTGGGCTACTCGCTCATCATGGATGCACCTACAAGGCATTGTGAAAATTGAAAAATGTGAAAATTCTAAGACGAATAAACAAGGTAGGTTTACGCCAGACCGCGTCTTGTCGTAACAGGCTTCGCGATGTCTCGCTGCCTGTTTCTCCAATCCGCGCCTGGCGTACCTACCTTGGCCTGCGGCGCTAGCCTGCCTTCGGCAGGCAGGCTTCTCCATCTCCATCGTCGATTTTCCTCACTTGTTGCGTGCTGGGGGGCTCCGCCCCCCAGACCCCCCTTCATTCTAGAAACAGTTGCTTTATCTCCAGATAACTCGATCTTGACCCTTGTAACTTTTCCCCTTGTCTGGGCTGGGGTCTCTGCCCCCCAGACCCCCCTTTCATCACGACAGAAGCAATCTGCCTACAGAAAACTCGATTTTTCGCCGTTTTTAAAGTGTTTTTCGGCTATAAAAACTAGGGATGGGCACTATATGCAAGCGCATATTTTGCATAATTTCTAAACTTATTTCAAATGGAAAAATTTTGATATGTTTGGAGTCCGGGTGCATTGCCTGACACATTTATAAATCGCATAATGGTCGCATAATTGGCCATTTACGCATAATGCGCATAATTCACGCATTTTTCTCACATAATTTACATTTTGAACCCAAAAAGCGCACTTTGCTGTTATAGTTGATTCCTAAGATTATTTCTTTTGGTCGGTTATCGTGTTTTTAGAAGTTTTAAAGCAGAAACACAAGTTAGAATTTGAATTTTTCGCGCGGTGCAGGTTGTCAGTGGAGGAGGGTTGGCTGGTTGCGTTCCCACTGATCAAAGTTTTTAATATATTCACAATAAAATTTTAACTGTGACCATTTTGTTTTGTTTAAAAATTAACCCTTTTGGTGCATTTTCCCCTCTTTTTCAACTTTTGCCCCTCTTTTGCATTTTTTGCAGAAATAAAGGGTTTTTTGCGCATAAAAAGCGCATTTTTGGAGCATTTTAGTCGCATAAGTGCCGCATAATACCACAAAATTTTACCGCATAATTCGGTGTTTTTATTTGCATAAAGTGCCCATCCCTAATAAAAACTAAACCAGTTGAGCTAGGATGGTGAGCTTTCGCGTGTGCCGAGCCAAGGACATACCCAAAAAGTGTGCAAAATCTCACCGAGATCGGCCGAGCCGTTCAGGAGGAGTAGTGCGGACACACAGACACACACACACACGGACAGACAGACAGACAGACATGAAAAAAATTTCAAACCCACTGGAGTAACAGGCTTCGCTATCGCTCAGCCAATCATTAAAATGAATCAATTGCTGCTAAAAAACGAGAACTCTGAAACGAGAATTAAACGATTCTGTCTGTTTTTGATACTACTAACTTAGCGTACCTGAATCTCTCTTTGATATTGCCGATGCACCTCTCTACAACATTTCTGTCCCGGGAGTGTACTTTATTAAATCTTCCTTCAGGAGTGTCCTCTTGAGGTTGCTCAAAGGGTACTATCATCCAGGGCTCCAGAGCATACCCTGAGTCCCCTAGAATTTGATCCAGAAGTTAGACAAGACAGCCATAAAAGGGCAAGTAAGGACAAAACCACAGGGAAACATACCGAGAAGATGGCACCGTCGCTCATGGAACAGCCTATACATTCTAAGCCGGAGGCCGCACCCGCTAAAAATAAATGAGTCGTTTGTTGCTCCAGGAAAATTTGCCAGTACGTTGGTTACATACAAACGTCTATCACATGTCTATAGAAGAAGCAGAAAAAAAATACAATTTAAGAAAAATTAACACATATTTTAGCAGATAAAAACATAATTGTGATATGCATACAATCTGTACATTGATACAGGGAACACGCTTTCTTCCTATAAAAGCCTGCGGGTTATTGGCCAGGCTTGGCTTCACAACTTTCACTAGTGTGCCATCTGTATACCCAGCAACATCGGGGATCTGCCCCCCTAAGGCTTGGTTCCTGTGGACAGAATGAATTAGCAATTACAGGTTTATGATTAACATAGGCATAACAGAAGGCTCATGCCTCCAATCACTCCACAAGGACTTAAGTTATAAGCTTTAGTGTGGATGTATGCCGACCCAATCCGGTATTATTACTCCACCAGCTCGGGACCCATTGCTGCTCCTAAATGATGAGGGAATTCTCCACACCTTACACTCCCTCCTTGCATTCCAGAGCATTTATGTACCTTTCAATGATGTAGTTGAGCTCCTGCACATTGATAGGGAAGCGAATAAGTCTGCCCAGGATCTCATCTTCATTGAGGGCATTTGTAACCTCTTCTATGTAAGCACTGAGCGTTGGCTGAGCTATGGGGCAATCATACTGCCTACCAGTTGGGCTCTGGTAGGACCCCGTAGCATAAAAGCTCAGGACTGATAGTACCTGAACCAAAGGATATCATGCATCATCAAACAGAAGAGGAGTAATATGGTGATGCCAAACATAACAAATTTGGTATAATTTCCTCTGCTTACACACCTTCAGCTCAAGTGGAGCTGCGAGAGGACTGGACCTCCGTCTCATAAATGGTCTGATCAAGTCAATTACACTAAAAACCAGATCCTGGCTCAACCTGCCAGGGTTTAAACAAAATTTCAAATAAAAGTTAATAAAGTGGACAAGGAATAGAATTTTTAAAAATATAATTCTGACCTGCAAACTTTTTTGAAGGCAGCATAAGTGACATCAAACGGGTCACTCTCATCCCTTAATCGCCGCCTGCGGATAATGAGCAGGTATTTTTGCCTCTGACACTCCCTATTGTACTCATATGCTGGGTGCAATGGGTCCATCAGCATGAGAGGGTTTTCATCTTCCGGGTCATCTGCATCAGGTTCATACATCTGCAATTGAGAGAAAAAATATAAATGAACTAGCTAACAAGATCTGCACTATGACACATGCATTCATTCATTCATTCATGGGGCACACACTCTCATTCCAGGAACTTGACATCACGTTGAAACGAACGTGACAAACTGTCACGTTCGTTTGAGCATTGTGTCACATTCGTTTGAGTGTGAATTGGCCGAAAATCAGCTCGTTCACATTCAAACGAACGTGACACAATGCTCAAACGAACGTGACACTTTGTCACGTTCGTTTCAACGTGATGTCACGTTCCTGGAATGAGAGTGTAGGTAGACAGAAATCCTCTAAGCATTGTTAGGGTGTCCGTGGCGGGCAGGGTTAAATGACGTAAATGCATGAAATCGTTAACATTCCCCCTAAATGTTGCGAAATGTTAAAAATGCATTTGTTACGACCACTTTGGTGGAATGTTGGGGCAAGTCGTCGATTCTTATACAAAACAAAGGCGTTAACAATAAGAACATTCGTCACGGTACGCTCGGAAAGTCGTTAGAAAGAGATATTTCGGGCCCGAATTTCGGAAGTTTTTAAGTGGCTTAAAACGAGACCTCGTTTAAAGTTGATTTTGAATACTTTCCTGTTCAAGCAGGCTCAATTCCTCTTAGACACAATCTAGCAGGCTACCAATTAGTAATACTGAGTACTTTGCACGTCCCTAAAATAAGCCAATTTGTGGCAAAAGTGCGGTGTGCGTTTCTTCCCCACCTCGCAGGTGTCCGATTTTTCCCCGCCCTGACCCTACTACATCTATTTTGATCATATTTGATGACAAAGGAACACTATTTGCTGAAAAGTAGGCTCGCTCTGTAAAAGTTTGCGAAATAGGCCAATGTTGAATTTACGCTCTCTGGAACGCTTAGAGAAGTTTTTACTTTACCGCCTCAGATTTTTGTCGTTCTTTTTGAAAGTGCCCTAAGGCAATTTTCAATGCATAGTGTGGGATTTTAAAAGTTAAGGCGAGGTCAGATATTTGCATTTTTGAGTAAAACTTCCAAATCCCAGTTTGTGTGTTCATCAAAGTGGGTGGGGGTCACACGGTGGGCAGATTTTGCCCAAATCATGATCTTCTACCTTGTACTCATTGATTACAACCAGCAAACACTGAGAATGAAAGAGTCACCACCATCGCCCTTTCATTGCGTGACGCACGCATCGTCGCTCAAATTTGGGTGACGAGCCAGCGGTGACCAAATTTTGGGCAGTCACTTCGCCATAATGAGTTGAGGTCTCCGGTCATCGTGGTGGTCCCGGAAGGACGTCATCAAGGGCCTCACGTTGTCGCCGACGACATTACTAAAATTTTTGGAATTTGCCTTGTGAGCCACTTTTACTTGTAGATCTCAGAATCTTGCGCACTTCGTTTTTGTGGGGTTCATTTGAAGTAAGGTAAAAAATCAATTGTGGGTCACGAATCAATTGTGGGTCATTTTTTTCGACGGGTCACCGCAGACCCGACAGAGATTGAATCGATTTGAATTTCGCGGTAGACCTTCCTCCAACCTTTTTTTGTCTTCCCAAATAGCGTGTATGTCCGAGCGACGACTGTAACGGCTCCTATCAGGCTTCAAAGGAAGGCCCTTCAAAAAGTCGTGAAAATGGCGCCCATCCAACGAGGCGAAAAATCGTGTGTTTTTCAAATTGCCACCGTGAAGCTATAACGAGATAAAATGGGACGCCCTTGCTGATTTAGGTTCATAATAGGTCAGGGAACATAAATTTACCATAGTACGGCCGAAATCATTCGATGCCATGGTGCGCGGGTGCTGGCAAAGTAGCGTTCGCTACCATGTCAGACCCATTATTTTAGACGAATTTTACGGTAGTTTTCCTGCTATTTTTTGTTTTCTGCGCTTCTGGATGACTGATGTATCACAGTAAATTCCATTTTTCTGCTGTCACATTTAGTACTACGATACGAAGGTTTTGTTAAGCTTAGGCTACAGCCCCGGATGACAACGCTAGCTCTTCCAGTCTGCCATGCTATAAGGCTTTTTTGTTGGGGGGGGGGGCGCATTTCGGGGCTTACATAGCGCCCGGAAGGGGACCGCTCTCCAACTGCTGGCTAGGCACCCGAGGCCAGTCCGGCTCTGTTAAAACGAGTCAAATTAATCCCTACAGACTAAATATTCTGACTGAAATAGATAATAAATTGTAGCAGTACCTCATGACAGGGTGTGGTGTTGGATTGTCTACCACACCGGTGGCCCTACAATATGCACTATAAAAGTTTCGTCTCTAATCCAGGACGTTTAACTCACATCTGTCTCACAGTGAAATAAGCCTGTTTGTGTATTTTTCCTCTTTGAGTGAAAAACGTGTCTGCTTGGTTTATTGAGAACCAGGGACCTTTAATTAATGAAAATAAGAAAATATCTTGCAAAAGTGGTCAATTTACAAGCAAAAAGACGAAATGGCCCACAATTGATGTGACCCACAATTGATTCATTGTGCTACAGATCCTGCAGTTTTCACGATTCCGAAAAATAAATACAGAAGTGAATTTCTCTCGTATTTAAGCAAATCATATCCAAATTTGAGCTTCCTACAATGCTGACCCACAACTGGTTCCAAAAATCAATTGTGGGCCAAAACAGACTATTTTTAAAACAGTCACAGCTTAGTAAATAAGGATGATAGACGGGGCTACTATGCTGCAAAACTTAGTCCAAGGACCATAGTTTAAGGCCGCACATGCACTTTTGTCACCAGGTCAGAATTAAAGGCCTTTATTTCGAATTTCCAAAAATGTGACCCACAATTGATTTTTTACCTTATGCCGAAAAAATTGCCCCACTACGTGAGTGTGGCACAGGTGAACCTGGACATGAGGGAGGACTTTCTTGATGCCATTTATCTCCTTGTAGTCCTTGTCAACAATTACTGATTGAATTTGTTCACATGCATCCGGATTAGCATCCCTGAAAATTTCAAGAGATTCTCCCCCGTTTCTCTTCTGAGGAAGCTATAGCCTACAATTCGACCATTCTTGTAATTGTCAATCACTTGAATAACAACCAAATGCATGTTGCTTTTGTTCAATTTATATGTTGTATCCATTCCTATGAATTCTGGGTATTTCTTCAAATTTTCCCTCATTTGAGGTCTGGAAAAACAGATAGTCAATAACATTGTCATCTCCATAGCCAACACAGGAGTAGGACCCTTTGTCACTTTCGATCATGTGTTGCAGTTCTCCTAAGGCGTCCTCTCTGTATTTCCCTTCATCTTTTTTTTTCAGTTGTCTCCTGCAGCAAGTCAATTCAGAAAACCAAAATATTTTGAAAGGGACTCAATGGGTCATTCTTTCTCAACTTATTGACACTCCTGACACCCACTTTAACAAGAGGATTTGGTTCTAAAATTATTCATTCAGATTTTCCGTTATTTCTCTTTGCATTCAATAAAATGCTTTGATTTGGATTTTTTTGGGTGATATGTGCTGAGGGAGTTCTGCTTCAGACATAACTTTAAATCCACATAACCGTTTATCCACATAAGGGAGGGTGGGGCAGTTTGAAACAGGGGCAGTTTGAAACAAACACCAATATAAAAGCAATGAGGGCTCCTGAAGGAAATGTGAGTGTGCACAATCTTCTATTTTCATGATCTTACTGATTTGCGATCGACACGGTCGTCAACGGTGCACTTTAGTGGCCTTGAATAAAAGGTGAAACTTCGGTAACATTGAAATTGGCCTAAACTTCAATTTCTAAGTCACAGGAGTTTCCGTCTGGGTTTCGCTAGTAAGCGATCATCCCCCGCGCTTTAAATTCATCTTTTATTACCATATTAGGCAAGCGTAACGCACCCTCGGACACTGACGTAGCCCTCACCAAGTCCGGCGGGGAGCAGCACAACTGGAATGGTGCCCTCTGGGGCAGTTTGAAACAGAAGTGGGTGGGGCAGTTAGAAACACAGCAATATCACTAGAAAAAACGTTTTATATTATGGAAAACGAGCATAATGATGGAAGTTCGTAATTCCAGGCATCAATGGAGACGTTGTATGTTTGACCCGTGACTTGCATCAAAATGCAATATTTATGGACTATTGCATGTTTTAAACTTTGCGGGCGGGAAAAGGCCTTTATTTCAACTCCAAAACAGTAATGTGAGTTAACAACTTTTGTTCGTCTCTCTGAGACGAATCCATTGCCATACGCATTTTCAAAAAATTCGCATTTTGAAAAATATGCGTTTTTTGCTTTTAAATTATTATTAAAAATGTTGAAAAAGTTCGTCAAAATGTCAGCACTTGCATGGCAACGTCTATTTGAGTCTATTTGAATCTATTGGAGTTGTGTACGCGGCTTTTCTTGGCCCGTGTTGACTTCCATACAGCTGTTTCAAACTGCCCCATCGCTGTTTCAAACTGCCCCGGCCTGGGGCAGTTTGAAACAGATGCAAGGGTTGGAGTTTCACCTTATTATTAACTTTGAACGAACTTCTAAGCGTCTGCGGGCGTTTTCTAGTCTAGATAATGAGTCATTCTATTAATCTAGTGCAAACACGCAGCATATAGACCAACAGTACGATTATAATAACGAAATTCCAAATTCTGTTTCAAACTGCCCCACCCTCCCTTAATTGTTGACAGACATAACTGGTGTCAGACATAAAAGAGGATTAATTGTGTTTAAAAACTGTAAACACACATAACTTTAAATACACATAACTTTATTCCAAAATAAACTTTTAATTAAAAAATATATATAAAAATTGAATTATTGGCTGAGCGATAGCGAAGCACTTGCCGTGTTTATTGGCTGAGCGATAGCGAAGCACTTGCCGTGTTTGTTGGCTGAGCGATAGCGAAGCCCTTGCCGTGTTTGGGCGCTCCAAAAACTGACTGGTCGTGAGTCTGTCTGTCCGTCTGTGAGTCTGTAGCGTACACGCTCACGTTTCTCAGCAACTACATCACCAATTGTTCTCAAATTTCGTACTGAACATCCTCAAAGTGTCCCACAGGGGGAGTTTATCTTATATCAAAAATTATCATCGTTTGAAATATTCAAAACATCGTTTTGAACTAGGTTATTATCGTTGTGAGGTTGGTAGCAGTGTGTGGCTGACCAATTTCTCATACCGGCTGCCGTGCTTCCAAGCCGTCTGCAAGACGAGACGGCACTTTTGCTATTAAACAAACTGAAGAGCAAAGGGGTTCTCAAAAAGGTACTGAGATAGTTTTTTAACATTCTAGAATGATTGAATCCCTTCCGGAGAGTCAACAGAGAAAAATACGAAAACTGAATGTGAGAATGGTTTGCGTGTTTCCTTCCCCTCTCCCCCTCCCCCGTCACAGGGGAATCTTTCTTCAGGTCAGTGCACTGTGGGTGTAGTTGTGTTGTGGATTGTAAATAGAATGTTTTCTTTGACTTCGTGTGCATCTACTGATTGGCTGAGCGATAGCGAAGCCCGTTACTCCAGTGCAGTTGAAAAGTTTTGTCTGTCTGTCTGTCCGTCCGTGTGTGTGCACTACTCCTCCTGAACGGCTCGGCCGATCTGGCTGAGATTTTGCAGGCTTATTAGGTATGTTCTTGGCTCGGCACACGCGAAATTTCACCACCCTAGCTCACGTGGTTTAGTTTTTGGCCCGTCCCGTTTATTTTTTGTAAAAAAATGACGGAGGGACGGGCATATAGTATGATGCATGCTGTGCGTCCGTTCGTTCGTTCGTTCGTCCGTTCGTTCGTCCGAGGACTTCCCGTGGTCCGATCTTGACCAAATTTAGTATGCAGCCTCCTTGGGTGACCCTTAGAACCGCCCGGTGGCAGCAAATCCGATCCGAGCCCCGGGGGCGCTGCTGCAGGTGCATCATGGTCTACATGGGGTCGAGGAGGATCTCGGCAACGGATGCAGCTAGCAGGGCATGTAGGGGTATTTTTGGAATCGGTGCGACGAGAAAAAACCAATGGTGCCACTTTCGAACGAATCAGAGAAGTTCGGACCCGGGTTCAAATCCCAGTGGGGTATTTTCGGAACATTCTTTTTATTCGAGTTTTTGCATTGTTTCTGATGTTTTTGAGGGTGCTGATGACGAAAACGACATTTATTTTGACCCTAGACCCTGGTTTCAATTCGTCAGGGTTAAACAAAGGCGAAATTCACACATTTGTTAATGTACGGGACGGGCCAAAGTTGCCGATGTATATCGCTACTTTTCCTGTTATTATAGCCAAAAAACACCTAACAAACGGCAAAAAATCGATTTTTCTGCAGGCAGATCACTCCTGTCTTGAAGAGAGGGGATCTGGGAGGCGGAGCCTCGCAGCCTTGACAAGTTAAAACGTTACAAGGGTCAAGATCGAGTTATCTGTAGATGGCAACTCTATCTGGAATGAAGGGGGGTCTGGGGGCGGAGCCCCCCAGCATGCAACAAGTAAGAAGTACCCGACGACGGATAAGGCAATGCCTGCCGAAGGCAGGCTAGCGGCGCAGGCCAAGGTAGGTACGCCAGGCGCGGATTGGAGGAACAGGCCGCGAGACATCGCGAAGCCTGTTACGACAAGACGCGGTCTGGCGTAAATCTACCTTGTGTTTAAGTTGAGTGATTGAGGGAATGCATGTCCTCATGCCCCACGCAGGAGTATCTGAAGCCCTTGAGGGAGGAGAGTGCACAACGCCCCTGGCTGTCCTCAGCCCCATGTTGATGTAAGTACTAATTTTTTATTGTCAATGTCCTTAATGCCCTTAAGTTGCTGTCAGTGACCAAATTGTTATTTTGTATGTTCTCAGGTGTTCGTGCCACCACATGAAGAGAACGCTATCTCGTCTCGACCCCGTTATGACGTCCCCCCTCCCTCCAGCGACCCTGGGTCATTCCATGTGAAATCGACAAGGTTCAAATCGACCAGTGCTCCGATTTTGATGAAACTTGCAGCGATTGTTGGTCTTATGGTCCCATTGAAGTTGCCAAAATATTTTGGTCGAAATGTCAAAGGGGTCTGAGTAGTGCACGATTCAATTTTTTTCACTTTTTGTGAATGGGTATCCGTTTTTTGCTAATATCTCCGGAACTATTCGTCGTACGACAAAAATGAGTACACCGTTGGAAAGAGGAGAAAAAACTGAATAAAATCAAAAAAAAATATATTTTTTTTGGAGAAAAAAAATTTTCTTTTATACTAAACTCAAACTTTCAAAGTTATATTTGAAACTGTTCCCCTTCATCAAAATTGACATGCTATGGCTCAAAAAGTAGCTTTACCCTTCCACTAAACGAAAATGTCAATCATATAAAGTACTTTTTCTCGTTTGGGAGAACGAGCGATTTCCGTGGACCTCTGCACTGGATCCGGGCCTACCCTCTGCCTGAACGGTGCACAACGGCCCGGCGCTGTGGCACCGCGGTGTCCTGCCACCCACCCCCATCCCTTTCCGCAGTTCCCAGAGCAGAAGTAGGGGCGCCTGGAGGGTAGGCCGCACCCCGCACGCCGCCCCGGGCTCCCACGGTCACCGCCCAGCAGGTAGGCAACCCTTCTTAGTCACCCCGAGCCTTGCTTCGTGGCGCAGCCGAAGTGCAGCTGAAGTTGATGCGAAAACGGCATTCCCCCCGACGGTGCTGCCAGTGTTTGGGCTGTGGCGACAAGACGAACTTGTTGTTGTTCCTTTGTCTTGGTTTGTTTACTTTCTGCACCGACTACTTGTTGGAGTAAATAATTTTTGAGCATTGACTTTGAGTCGATTTTATGCCCTGAAAAGGTCCGTTTTTCTTGTGTACGAGTTCTTTCTCTTTTTTAAAAAATCTGATATTATAGGATTTTGCTTTGGTTTGATGACGCTTCTTGTTTTATTTTGAGGTTTGGTTTCTTTGTGGTTCAGGTTCCCCCTACACAATGGGCCGAGCAGACACCAAGAAGTGTTTCCTGAGAAAGGTACAACATCTTCCTGATGTTGGTGCCTGCTCTGGGGATTTCACTGCAAGAGCCAGCCTATCTCCAGAAAGGATTCGTTTGCTCAAGATCAGAAGTGGCTGCAGAAAGAGTTTGCAGTATGTTTGTGATGGACATTTCACTAAGTTCATTCACCGCTTTGAAGCACACCAGAAAAACTGCTGTCTTCATGAGTCAACATCTGTTCATGATGGCCCTCCAGCCAAAAAGAAAAACACTGGCACTCCTCAATTGCATGTTATTACACTCCAAATGCGGGACAGTGCCAAAACTATTGGACTTGCTTTGGTGCCCGGCAAGAAAGTGTGTGTCAAGTGCAAGATTGACCTGAACGCTAAAATCAAAGCTGCTGAAAAATCTGCCGCAGAAAAGGCTGCTCAAGAATCTTCAAGCAACGCTCCTGACCCGGCTTCAATTTCCAACCCTCCTATATTTTCGTCACCTAGTGTAGGGTCTACTTTGGCCCCCAGTGATATTACAACTCCCACTGTACCTGCAGATAGAAAGGCTTCTAAAGAAGAGTTTTTTCAGGAGAGTATTGATGGATTAAATACTTGGCTGTCCTCTCTTGGATTCTCTCCTGTGAATGAAAGGAAATTAAAGACTCAGAAGAGCTCACACTAAATTCTTGTGGACTTTTTTATGCATAGTTATGCATGCTCAGAAACGTCCATATGTTATGCATAATATTATGCATCACTGTGTACATTTTATGCAGGAAGATGCATAAAATGTACACAGTGATGCATAATTTTATACATAAAATATGGAAGATTCTGAGCATGCATAACTATGCATAAAAAATGCGTCTTTATGCATTTAAAAAGTCCATAAGAATTTAGTTTGCTATGGGCGTAAAGTTATGAAGAAAATAAGAGCAGCGCTGACAAAATTTTCTGATCAACAACTAACTGAGGACGAAGATGCAGCATACTTCAGAGAAATAATAGGCCAACTACAGCAATTTATTGATTGTCATCCCCAGCCCGATAAAAAATTATTAGCTTTATCAGTTGTACCAAAAAGTTGGAGCATTTCCAGGATTGAAAGCACATTTGGGGTATCCAACTACATGGCGAGGAAAAGCCGTCTACTAGTGCAAGACAAGGGTATTCTGTGTGGCCCGGGTCCTAAAGTGGGACCCAAACTTTCACCTGAGACAGTGGAGCTGATCACCAAATTCTACTACAGGGACGACATAAGTCGGCCTCTCCCTGGAGCCAAAGATGTACTGAGTGTTTTAGTGGACGGGAAGAGAGTGAAGAAAACTAAAAGACTAGTGCTGTCTACTCTCAGTTGCTTGCATCAGAAGTTTAAAGAAGAACACCCTGATCACAAAGTCTCTTTAGCTAAATTTTGTGAACTGAGACCAAAAGAGTGTGTATTAGCTGGTAGTGCCGGGACTCATGTGATTTGTGTGTGCGCCTATCATCAGAATCCAGAACTTATGTTTGAAGCGGGAAATCTAAGTGAAGCTGGATTAGAAAATATAAAAGCGTGCAAAAAGTTGCTTTTATGCTCAGAGCCTAGTGAAGACTGTTTTTTTCGAAGATGTAATGACTGTTGTGATTCCACTGTTTTACAGGAAAAATTGGAAGTTTATTTTGACTCAGAAATGATTTCCACTGTGGTTTACAACCAGTGGGAGTCCACAGACCGGGCAAATATTGTAACTTTAAGTAAATCTACTGGGAGTTCTGCTTCAGACATAACTTAAAACCCACATAACTGTTTATCCACATAATTGTTGACAGACATAACTGGCGACAGACATAACTGGTGTCAGACATAAAAGAGGATCAATTGTGGTTGAAAAACTGTAAACACACATAACTTTAAATACATATAACTACATTCAGAAATAATTTTTAATTTACAAAAATATATGTAAGCTTAATTAAATAGAGGAAAATAAAAGAAAATGGAGCCTTGTCAAAAATTTCGATCATTATCAAGATTTCCTTCCTGCACAGCGGGCAAGTGGCGCTCTCGTCCAACCGTCCCGCGCAGGTCTTGCAGCAGATGCGATACCCGCACGGCACTGCAGCGTGATTTCTAGGGCGGTCAAAGCAGAGGCGGCACTGCTCATCTTGCCCCTCTATCGAACTGGAAGCAGCTGTCCCTGCTGAGTCCACCATGCTGTAATTTGAGCTTTATCCATTGATCCTTCGGGCAGCTCTTGCATTGATCTGCCGACAGTTATGTCTGTCGAAAGTTATGTCTGTCGACGGTTATGCCTGTCAAATGTTATGTCTGTCAACAGTTATATGTATATGCGATTTGGTTATTTCTGTAAAATGTTATGTCTGTAGCAATTATAATTTTAATTCAAATAATAAATGCTTTTTTATTTCAGAAATAAATCCGTTATTTCTGTCACCAGTTATGTGGATTTACAGTTATGTGGGTCGAAAGTTATGTCTGTCAACAGCAACTCAATCTACTGATGATTTTATTTCTGAGTTTATATCGCAGATTGAAAGTCTCATACCCCATGATTTTATTAGCAAAGTGCAAGCAAATTTCTATAAGGAATCAATTGAAAATTTAAAAGATGGTGAAGTTGTTGTTAATGTTGACTTTGCAGAAAATTTCTCCTTTGTTGTACAAAATAGCTCCCAGGGGTGGTACTTTAATAATAAACAGGCGACATTGCATCCCTGTTTGATTTATTATAAAGATGCTGAGGGCAAAGTATGCCACTCAGCATTTGTTTTGATATCAGATCACTTGGACCATAGTACTGCTGCAGTGCATACATTTCAGAAAAAATTGATCCGTCATATAACTGAGGACCTCAAGATAAAGCTGGCTAACGTCAAATATTTTTCAGACGGTTGTGCTGCTCAGTACAAAAATAAAAAATCTGCCGCCAATGTATGGTTTCATGAAAGGGATTTTGGAGTACCTGCAGAATGGCACTTTTATGCTACGAGCCGTGGAAAAACTGCCTGTGATGGTGTGGGCGGCATGATCAAACATACTACAATGTTGCATTGCCTAAGCTTAACAGCAAAAGACCCACAAATAACAATTGCATTTGATTTCTATAATTGGGTGTCTAAAAACATTCAAGGAGTGACTGATAAATGGGTTCCGAAAGAAGAAGTTATTGAAAATGAAAAGGTTTTACTTGTGAGATTTGAGACAGCTTTTGACATTGATGGAATCAAATCCCACCATGCTTTAATTCCTAGAGTGCCATCAAAGGATATCTTACTTAAGTTGTATTCACAAGATACAAAGTTTAATATTAAGAAAATATGTACCAAAGAATTTGAACTAGACTATAGTGAGGTAAAAGGATTTGTAACATTTACAGAAGACGAAAATTCCTGGGAGCTAGGCTGCGTATCTGAATTCCATGAAGAGGATGAAAACTTTTCGGTTCAAGTTATGGAAGCTACTGGACAACCAAGAAGTTACAAGTTTACTGATATAGTTATAATTGTTAGTCTACATGACATTGTAAGTCTAGTTGGCTGAGCGATAGCGAAGCCTGTTATTCGTTGGGGTTGAAAAGTTTTTCCTGTCTGTGTGCGTGCGTGCGTGTGTGCGTGTGTGTCCGCACTACTCCTCCTGAACGGCTCGGCCGATCGCGGTGAGATTTTGCACACTTTTTGGGCATGTCCTTGGCTCGGCACACGCGAAATTTCACTATCCTAGCTCAACTGGTTCAGTTTTTATAGCCAAAAAACACCTAAAAAACGGCGAAAAATCGAGTTTTCTGCAGGCAGATCACCCTTTCTAAAGGGGGGGTCTGGGGGGCGGAGCCCCCCAGCATGCATCAAGTAAGAAGTAACCGACGATGGACAAGCCATTGCCTGCCGAAGGCAGACTAGCGCCGCAGGCCAAGGTAGGTACGCCAGGCGCGGATTGGAGAAACAGGCAGCGAGACATCGCGAAGCCTGTTACGACAAGACGCGGTCTGGCGTAAACCTACCTTGTTAATCCGTACTTTCAAGCCAAAGGGACAATTGTGAAACTTCGAGTAAGTGATGCTAAGGCAGCAGATGTAAAATTAAAATCTAAGAAAAAAAATATGTTTTGAAGCAAGGTATAACTTGCCGCTACAGTTATACTACTTTAAAGGTTCAGAGGAAGGTCAGATAATTTTTATGTATAAAAACAACTTTGAATAAACACCCAGCATTTTAAAGTTTGAGTTCGATTTAAATTTCCTAACAATTTGAAAGAAATCTCAGTCTGGTAACAAACATTTGACAAAGTGCAACACTAACTCTCGCCTAGGACCATACTGAAAATTTGAAGGTCAAGAAGGAGATGGAGTAGGGGGAGGGGACAGGGGAATAGGGGTAGTATCGTAGGATGAGTTGCCTACCTGCTGGGCGGTGACCGTGGGAGCCCGGGGCGGCGTGCGGGGTGCGGCCTACCCTACAGGCGCCCCTACTTCTGCTCTGGGAACTGCGGAAAGGGATGGGGGTGGGTGGCAGGACACCGCGGTGCCACAGCGCCGGGCCGTTGTGCACCGTTCAGGCAGAGGGTAGGCCCGGATCCAGTGCAGAGGTCCACGGAAATCGCTCGTTCTCCCAAACGAGAAAAAGTACTTTATATGATTGACATTTTCGTTTAGTGGAAGGGTAAAGCTACTTTTTGAGCCATAGCATGTCAATTTTGATGAAGGGGAACAGTTTCAAATATAACTTTGAAAGTTTGAGTTTAGTATAAAAGAAAATTTTTTTTCTCCAAAAAAAAATAATTTTTTTTTGATTTTATTCAGTTTTTTCTCCTCTTTCCAACGGTGTACTCATTTTTGTCGTACGACGAATAGTTCCGGAGATATTAGCAAAAAACGGATACCCATTCACAAAAAGTGAAAAAAATTGAATCGTGCACTACTCAGACCCCTTTGACATTTCGACCAAAATATTTTGGCAACTTCAATGGGACCATAAGACCAACAATCGCTGCAAGTTTCATCAAAATCGGAGCACTGGTCGATTTGAACCTTATCATTTTCACATGGAATGACCCCCCTTTGGGTCTGCAAGAATGCTCCCTTCTACCCACGAGGGGGCTTTCGCCCACACCCCCAAGATGTCTATGGCAGACTTGACCCGACCACCATGTGGGCCAGCACCCCGCCCTCGTGGTGTGAGTATCATTGTGTGTTTGCATCAAGTATCTTGATTTTTTCATCATCATTCTTCCCTCTATCACTCTGTGTGTTCTGTTACAGCCTGTCTTCAGTCGTTTGGGGAAGAGGGTGAGGCATCAGCAGCGACGCTGCAACAAGCATTATCCGTCTCGTGGGGAGCGCCGCAGGGGCCCTCCACCCCCTCCGCTTTGCTGTTAGATTTTTTCAATAATTTTCTTCTCTGTGATTATCAACTGTGATTATTGTGTGGTTGTGTTTGTGTACTTGTGCTAGTGTGAACCAGCATGCAGGACTTTTTTACCCATATCAATGCTCCCAGAATGGTAAGCCCATTCTTAAAATGGAACTGTTAGTACAATTCTTGAAAGTACAGTGACTAATTGGCTGAGCGATAGCGAAGCCTGTTACTCCAGTGCGGTTGAAAAGTTTTTTCTGTCTGTGTGTCTGCGTGTGTGTGTGTACACTACTCCTCCTGAACGGCTCGGCCGATCTGGCTGAGATTTTGCAGGCTTATTAGGTATGTTCTTGGCTCGGCACACGCGAAATTTCACTATCCTAGCTCACGTGGTTCAGTTTTCATAGCCGAAAAACACCTAAAAAACGGCGAAAAATCGGGTCTTCTGCAGGCAGATCACTTCTGTCTTGAAGAAAGGGGGGTCTGGAGGGCGGAGCCCCCCAGCCTCGGGAAGTTAAAAAGTTACAAGGGTCAAAGATCGTTATATCTGTTGATGAAACTACTCTATCTAGAATGCAGGGGGGTCTGGGGGGCCGAGCCCCCCGGTATGCAACAAGTAAGAAGTCGCCGACGATTGAGAAGCCATTGCCTGCCGAAGGCAGGCTAGCGCCGCAGGCCAAGGCAGGTACGCCAGGCGCGGATTGGAGGAACAGGCCGCGAGACATCGCGAAGCCTGTTACGACAAGACGCGGTCTGGCGTAAACCTACCTTGTTACATAATTTGTATGTACAAATTAGCTGTTTCTAGTTCTGGGGCATCAACTTCTGTTTCTTATGGTTGGCCATCACCGCAACCCTCAACCTCTAAATTGCCTACTCCAACCCAGCAGCGTAAAACAACAAGTAATTTTCATCTCCAATCCAGCAATTACGTATTATGAACACATAATGTAAATTTTACTCAAACAATTTTTTTTTCTTTAGCAAAGGTGGGAAGGCCTAGGAAGTACCAGCTGCCAGAGAACCAGGAGGACGAACCAGCACCCTTGCCACCTGCCCAAGGGTCTGGGCCCAGTGCTGTAGACATCCCTGCTGATTTCATTGGGGCTGTGAACGGTCTGGAGACCGCTGTAGGAGACTGTCCGCGCTCCTCCACCCGCCTTGTATCGAAACGGGCCGCCGGCGCGAGGAGCAGCGCTATCGCGCATCGCCAAGGGCCATGTCCGAATCGGAGGACGAATTCGACGGTGGCGACCGTTACAGGGGACTTCCCTCCCGCTCGCCCCCGCTCCCTCGCGAAAGGGAGGAGGAGGCTGTGGACGCGGCGGACGATGATCCACCCAGCACGAGGCGAGGTCCCGGGCGCCCAAGGAGGGACGGAACCCTGCCGACCAATTGGAAGGTGAAGTATGAGGCGCTGCAGAGGCGTGTCCAGTGGCGCCAACACGTGGGTGCAGGGTCTGCGGCCGCATACCCTGATTTGGGGTGGGTGGGTGGTTGCGGTGGTGGGTGAGGGAAGGGGAAAAGAGAAAGAGAAAAAGGAGAGAAAGGAAAAGAGGGGAAGAAAAGAAAAGAAGGAGAGGGAAAAGAAGAGAAGAGGAAAAAGGGGGTTGTAAGAGGCTGAATATCAGTCGCTCCCTCAAAATGAAATTTCAGTGGGCGCCACTGGGCGTGTCGGTCAGGACCTGGACCTGCCTGGGCCTAGCGATGCTGCGAACAATGTAAGATTCTGTAAGTTAAAGTAGCTCCCGTTTATCATGTAGAGTCGTACGAAGGAGGGGAAATTCCCATTTCACAAATTTGGGCAGTGATATGGTGGTGGGTGAGCTAGTCTCCCTTGCGTCCCCGCTTCATCGCTGCCCCTGATCTGTGAATCGTGAAATTCCTGTAGTGCAAAAAATCTCAGTTTATAGTTTTCTTGATTCTCGCAGTTCATCCATGCGGAGGGCCCGGTGCCGGAGCCAGGCGAGGCCGAGGAGGACAACCTCGCCGTACTGGCGACGGCGGTCGCCGCAGCAGCCCCGGCGGCCGCAGCAGCGCCGGCAGCAGCCGGCAGTGATGACGACAGCGACGCCGAAACGGTGAGAATGATTTAATTTTAGAGGCGGTTTTCACATGTATGTAAATTTGATTTGGTATCTCTATCAGGTCGAAGAGGGTGGGGGAATGCCTTGTCATCAAGCAGCCTCTCCATTTAAGGACTTTGCACTGAGAAAACCTTACAAACTATTTCGGGCCTTACAAAGAAAAGTAGTTTGTATAACAAGTATTTTGAGCATACGTAAGCTTACAAAGAAAATACTTCGTAATTTACGATCTATTACTTCGTATAACAAAGTATTTTAGTTTGGTATATGTATGCTCAAAATACTCCGTAAGGTTTTAAGAGTGTGAACAAAGCCTGAAAATATTAAAAATAGTTGGCTGAGCGATAGCGAAGCCCGTTACTCCAGTGGGGTTGAAAAGTTTTGTCTGTCTGTCTGTCTAGTGACACAGGGGTGCCCTGGCCACCCTATGGCACTTTCAGACACTTTGAGGTGGCTAATCTAAAGGTCTTGTGCTGTGGAATCATGTTCAAGTGAAAGTGATACTTTGAACAAAATATTTTAGCCCCTAGAATAAAAGCAAGAAAATAATAACCTAAAATCACAGATTTTACGACTTTTAAACAAAATATTTTCTCGCCATTCTTCCAGTAAACGGCACTGCCGATCGTTCTGGCACTTTTAATCAATAATAAGGACCTTTAGTAAGTTGTTTTCGCTGAACCAGCTCAAACATGTGATTTCATTTCCTTAATATCAAATTTTGAACGAAAATGAGCCCCCGGGGCAGGTAGTGACAGACACACTCTATTTACCGTATTTCAACGATTTAAACGTTTCAAAACATCGATTTGGCAACCGCGAAGTAAATTGTCACCGATTGTCACACAACGAAACATAAATGAGACTACTTTTAACGACAATTTCGTAGAACATTGAATTTGATTGGCAATTTAGTAAAATGCAGTTTCTTGGGGAAAATGGCGCCGTTCAGAATGGTTTGATATTTAAAAAGCTTAAAGAGTCCAAAACGGATAGTTTTCAATTAGCTGGAGCGTCGCTCTATGCTGGTAATGTGAGGTATATGTCCTGTCACTAGGTGCCCCGGGCTGGGGCACCAAGTGACAAGTGCAGAGGTCTGCGGGAAGCTATGTAAATAATAGAAATAGGTGTTGTCAAAACGCCACAACATGTTATTTCGATCAAGGAAGGATCAAAGCAACCTTCTGAGGTGTAAGTAGATTCATTTCTCGCACAGTATCGAAGTGAGTGCCAAAATCCAAAAAGTGTCACTAGGTGCCCCACCCTCCCTTACTCCTCCTGAACGGCTCGACCGATCTGCCTGAGATTTTGCAGGGTCGTTAGATATGTCCTTAGCTCGCCACACACCAAAATTCAGCTTTCTATCTCAATCCATTCGGTCATACTAGCCAAAAAACACTTAAAAACCGGCAGAAAAAAGACAACTTTTTAGGTACTTTCAACTTTGTGTCAAGTTTCATATCGTTTCATATGTTTTTGAGGCTGCTGATGACGAAAATAGAACCCATTCGGACCCTCGACCGAAAGTTGAATCCGATTGGTGCAGAATTTGATGACCAAATGCTATTTTAGAGGGGATCACGCCTATTTCCACGGCCAGCCTAGGAAAGCAGCCTGCCGAAGGCAGGTTAGCGCCGCAGGCCAAGGTACGCGTATACGCCAGGCGCGGATGGTCGAAACTGGCGCAGCATCGCGAAGCCTGTTACGACAAGACACGGTCTGGCGTACACCTACCTTGTTTTATTCTCTCTGAGAACCATTACAAGGCCTATGGAAGAAATAAGCTGAAGAAGTGGCAAGAAATGGACGATACCAAGGCAAGAATCTAAGAATCTACTTGGCTGGTGATGATGCAATCCTTCACTGTTAAAAAAAATATGAAAATTCAGACTGATTTCGTCTTACTTGGTGGTCTGAATCGTAAATTCATAAAATGGTACGAATATTAAGACCAACTGTCTGAAAAGTTTGACCTGTTGTCTGAAATTTAAATTTAGACTAGCAAGTCTGAATATTTAGAGCGATGGCTATCAAGTTTTGTACATTGTCGTCCGAAAACTAAATTCATACTTGTGAAATCGGAAAACGAGTGAAAAAAAACCGTCCCCTTTGTACATTTTTCGATTTTCTCAGAACTTTTATCAATACTACTGTTGTATTTCAAATAATATTTACGTTTAGTGTCGTAAAAGCATAGAGAATGTTTCAGAGCTCCGAAATGGACACTTATCCGCTAGGTGGCGCTAGTGTCGCATGGATGATCTTTTGGAGCTAAAATTGCCACTTGAAGGCGAAATTGCGAATATTTTGTTACAAACTTATTCCAAGTGATTGTCTGAAAGGGCATGAGCGCACCAAAGCAAGATTCAGGTTAATAAGTGCAGTATAAGCTAAATAACAAAGAATACAATTTCACTCTCGCGCATGGCCACGGGTCGGCGCGTGGTTGGGCTAAGGCCGCTCTCCCTCGCAACCCGGGTGGAAGGAACTGAAGTTCTAATTATATCTGGGAATTGCAACTTAACTATTTGTTAGACTGTACGCCACATACTTTCTGTTTATAAAATAACTTAAGTTTGCAGACGAACAGCAGTCAGACTGCAGACTGACCGATGCAGTTTGACTGTAGTTCAACTGTAATTTAACTGGTGAAACTGCAGTCTAACTATAGTTAACTATAGTTGAACTGCAGTCTGTTTACAGGAAAACTGGTAGTTTTTTTCGGACAGAGCAGTCTTGTCTGCAGTTTTAATCATGGTTTCATCTCGCCAGTATTACAGAAGGTTTAACTCGAGTTTTATATTGAAGTTAAAATTATTTTCGAGAAGTATTTTCTGAATTTTAGTCACAAGTGTGGATTTGGAAATCACGTTCAAATTTAGTTCTGCAAGCCCCCACCGCCGACCCTGGCCCTACTCCTTCCATGTCCTCTACGTGGTTGTTTGTAATGCTGTGCCATCTCCGCAATGAGAGTGGAACCCCGTTGAAGGCCGGGCGGGCTAGTCGGGTGGACCAGTCCATGCCACACGACAGTGCTGTCGGTATTGACTAAAAATTGGAAGGAGCTAGTATTGACTAACATCACCTTCACACGTTACCACTGCATGTCACCGCAGACTGCCTAGTAAGGTAGAAGAGTCTGAAGACCCGAGCGAATCATGCGTGGACCCAACCTAATTGTTGCCCGTAGACGCCATCGAGTGCTACCACGGAATTCCGTTTTTCTCCACTTCAGTGCAATATTCTGATTCAAATTTTTCTCTAACGTCTAAAGCAGATATTTACTGAAGTGGCAGATGGTGTAACTTGCAAAAATAACTTAATTCACTAGCCTAAATAAGAAATCCCGTTTGACAAACACTCACAGCGATCCAAGCGCCACCTAGCGGCAGGTCCTTGAAACCTGGCCTTGCAGCCCGGCGGCTGACAGTAGACCACACGGTGTGGTGGGATGAGGATTTTTCCACAGTTTGCGCACTACCCCGACGTCTAAGAATATCGCAATAATTTTTATGCTCAACGTTAAATTTTGGCTTCACCCCGCCATGCTTAATCTCAGAGAAAAAAAACCATATTGATCGACGTACTGGTCCTTGCCTTCCAGTCGTGTCGGTTTTCAAAAGCCCCTTTCGCTCGTCGCCGAGTGAAGAACAAAAGTACTCTAAAAGCCCGGAACCAGTAGCGCGCCACCAAGCGGCCGTTATAGCGAACTGTCAAAAGCTGAACTCTGATTGGTCCAAGCGTAGATCCGAACGAAGTTCACAGCATCGGCCGCTAGGTGGCGCGCTAGTAGTCCCTGCAATGTGATTACTTTTGTTCTTCAATCGCTTCCTCATTCCTGACTGCATTGAAAAGGTATACTATAAGTGTAAATTGAAGCGTAATGGTGTCTAGACAATGATCATGCAGATAAAATTACAGATAAAGCGTCGATATACTTGAGTCAAAAGAAGTATTTTAACTCACTTTTGGAGTATTGTTTGACTGAGCAATGGTGAGTGTAACATACACACTAAATTCTTATGGACTTTTTAAATGCATAA